CTTCCTCAGGAAGACTGACTAAGAGCTAAACCATTAGCTCATTTTAGAATAAAGCAGCTTGTGTGCTACTCAAAATAAAATTCCAGTTATTGATGAGTGTATAAGTCAGATGAGTCCAGCTGAGTTGTGTTGAAGGCTGACAAAAAGTCGAATCCAGAGATGTCGGCCTCACTTCACTAGTGGCTTCTTTCAGTGTGCTGGTGGAAAATCCATGCTGTTACACTTTTATTTTCTTTATATCATCAACCAGATCTTTGTGGTTTGAAGAAGTGGATGTGTCTTTTCCAAGTTTTTGTTGAATGAATAAATAATTCATTCATTAGCAGGAAAAGAGAAGTGGTAGTAACACTTGATGGAACTGAGAATTATGTTTATTACATATGTAAAATTCAAGATTAGTCTCCAAGACCAAATGTAAACAAAGTAAAGAAAATTTGACCCGTTTGGAGGTCGCACAAATGTCTGTTTGTGTGAACAGGGAGCGGGAGAGGTGTGAAGCAGTCTACTGAAAGTAAGTCAGACAGTCTGTTATGTGGTTGCGAATATCCATTATGCTTCATCGGGTTGGACAAAGTGGAGTCATTGGGCATTTGTGTGAATGATGAATGAGTATTATGTGGTAAGAGCTGCCTCTGAATATCTAGAGCTTTGTGTGTGTGAGTTGTGTTTTGGTGTGTATTTTACTCTGTGCATCTTTTATGTTAGAAAGGCAGTTTCTGTGCTTACACTGGGCTTTTTGTCTAATGACAGACACATGTATGTGCACATGCACCCATGCAAAAACACACACGCACGCGCTCTTTCACACACATACGCACAAACGTTCATATACCCGGACAAGTGGGTGATTGTTTTCTCAATCCAACATGGAATTTTTCAATTTAACATTTTATCCCTGCTGGGAATCGACACCTTATTCCTCCCACATTCCAATGGGGAACGGAAGCCGCTGTGTGTGTGTGTGTGTGTGTGTGTATGTGTGTGCACGCATGGTGGTGTCTGAAGCTGTCAGCAGCAGCATCCATCGGATACTGATTCCACTGGCAAACAAAGGTTATTATTCATCCATTGACACATAGAATTTCCAGATATGTGCCCTGGATCTTAGGAAACATGGA